ATAGATAGATAGATAGATAGACTAGACATACATAAAGAGATAGAGATAGATAGATAGATAGATAGATAGAGAGCACACATACGCATGTGGACACTTGTCCAGACAGGGCCCTTCGTTTTTTGAACCCCACTTCACGCCCTTTTAACCCCTGAACTCGGCCACGGCGGGCCCCTGCGAGAACCACGTTTTTGCAACCCCTCTCGTCTGGCCCCCTCCGCATGGAGGCCCGTTTTTCCAAACCCCAAGCTCGTCTCTTCCATTTCTTGCTGACCTTGTTCTTCATCGTTCCTGACTGTCCCGCCGTTGCTCGCTCTCGATCTCTGTCGTTTTCTTTCTACCTCTCTCTGTCTCTCTCTCTCTCTCTCTTTGTCTTTCCACTTTCCCTATTTTTCTTCTCCCTCTCTCCTCTCCCTCTTCACCTCTCTCTCTCTCTCTCTCTCTCTGTCTCTCGCTCGCTCTCGCTCTGTCTGTCTCCATCTCTCTCTCTCTCTCTCGCTGTCTCTCTCGATCTCTCTCTCTCTCTCTCTCTCTTCATCGGGCCTCGGCCAACTTTAGTTTGCCAGGGATGGACCGAGCTTGACCTTGAGACTTGGCGAGCATTCAGTGCGGGGAATAGGAAGGACGTGGGATTCTGGGCTTAGGGCTTACACATCACCGTTTAGGGCGTAAGCTTGGGGAGAAAGGATTGCTCGAGTAATGTTTTTGGGTCTGATACTGTTGCAATAGGAGCTTCGACAGCTAGATACTAGATGTTGCGATGCATATGTGCGAACTGAATCCCCGCCCCCGGAGCATCGCAAAAGACGAGGTCTCGGTGGAGTGATGTTCATCCTCATTTACTCAGCATTATTGCCATCTTCGGTGCGAGGCACCGCCAACATGTAAGCGGTTACAACGATCACGATACTGCCGGTCGGAGTAACAGTGTGGATCATAGCCGTACTGATGTGATGAACTTGGATCTTCATCACCAAGTTTCTCAGTGGTGCTATAGGGCTCCTAGTGCTTCTCACCGTTGCCAAGCTGCATCCAATTCGGCACCATTCAGCTGCGGCAGACTTCGGCCGCCTCCTTAAGAACATGTTTAAATCACACTATTTCCAGCTGTTCAGACCTTCCGCTCCTTCAGCCTCAACCGTTTACCCTTCGGCCCTTTCAACAAGGACAGACCTCAGAGAGCCTGAACCCAAAAAACTCAGGTGAAGTTTCAGGTGGCTGGGATTCCGATCCACTGGAAGGTGTCAAGCCTAGAAGCTTTCCGAGCTTTCGGCACGCAGGTGATTGTCAGGTGGCACTCCTGGGATGCCTGTTAGGGGTTGTTGCTTCCATCTTGGTCATTTGCTCATTGTCCCTAAGCCCAGAACCCTAAACCTTTGTCATAGTTGGGCAAAATTTTGCACGTGGGTACTCAAACTCAAAAAATAGTAGAAATGTATCCCCACTATGAACTTTACAAGGAGCCGCTGTAATTTTGACATCTGGGACCCTTGCACTGATTGCGCAAGGAAGTTGTCGATTCCATGAAGATTTCCAGCGCGTGAAATTCTAAATCAGGAGCCCTACGCCTAAAGCGCAGGTACATGGAATCGGTCGGTGAGGTGCCAGAAACAAAAGCCAGCAGAAGAGCACTGAGGTTCAGAACTCCACAAGATGCTACAGCGAGAAATGGGATGAAGCCTGTTCTTTAAATGAGGATCCGTTTTGGGGTCCCTTTCCAAAAGGGTGCCGTATTATTTTTAGGGATCAGAAAGGGGCCCGCAGTTAGAGAACTACCCGTGTAAAGGTGCTGAACTTGTTCTTCATCCTTCTCCCGAAGTTTGCGCTGTGGCTCGCGCAAGCCTTACACGGGTCTGTAAAGCTGGAAGGGTCTGCGACGACGGGGTTGCTTTCCTGCAAGTTCCTGAATCGTTTCGGAGATAAGGCTTCGTACTTATTTAGGGTTAGTCGTTCAGTGGTTTAGGATTTGCGGCTTGGTGATTTTGGATGTCGGGCGTAGGGGGTTTCTGCCCCATAGAAGAGAATGAGCATGGTTCCTGCGATGGTTCTACGACCACGAGGCAAGAAGAGGGTGCAAGGCGTTACCTGTTGTGATGCCTTCGGTATGCAAGCCAGAAACTCAAACACAATGAGAGCCAACGGTTCAGAATTCTCCGTAATGATTGGGTTTCGGAGCCCTGACAGCCACACATGGAACCCCGTACCCATGACAAACCCTTATTCCCTGAAATCCTAAACCCGTATTCTGGGCCATCACACGAGCTTCCTTCGAGGGGGGGACGTTGTAGAAGCAGCTAGGACGGAATGCTTCTCTGGAGGAACTGCTGTCATGATTAGGCCCTAGCTGATCGACAGTGAATTGTGAGGCATTGTCCAAGTCTGGTGTCCACTACTTGATGGAGACCGCTGGTATCGCAGAGACCTCAGCACATACTGTTCTTAAAACCCTAAACCCTAAACCCCAGGGAAACTTTAGGGAAGCCTAAAACCCCAAATAATTTTGAACTTTAGGGAACCCTAAAACCCAAATAATTTTGAACTTTAGGGAACCCTAAACCTGTAGCCCTCGTTCCACCGACGAAAGCATTGAAATCTTGTCCCTGTCTTGAGACAGCAGCCAAACCCAAACGCATGCCATGTAGGGTTCGGAAGAGTTGCTAATAGCCTTCCCTTGTAATCCCGTAGAATACCTGGGTTTAGGGGTTAGGGTTTAGGGTTACCTACAACAGATTCTACCCCAAACCCTATCCTGATTATTCTTGCGGCCATGTTCACATTTCCCTCGCTTGCCCAATCACCGGAGGGTCTGCAGCCAGAAGTCAAGGCAGAACAGCTGAAGGTTAAGGTTTAGGGTTTAGGGTTTATAGGGTTTAGGGTTTATAGGTTTAGGGTTTAGGGTATAGGGTTTAGGGTATAGGGTTTAGGGTTTAGGGTGTTGGTGTTGCATGCACTCTCAGCAGCTTCCGGTTAAGCAACACTACATGCTTCCAGGCCTCATGGCACTTTAGGAAAGGCATGGAGCTTTCCCCTGAGCTCCAAAACCTTGTAGACCCATTCTTCGACCCCTTACATCTGGGGCCCATTATACACTAATTGTCATAAGGAACCCCCCCAACAAAAAAAAAAGAAGTACTGGTAGCTGTTTAGGCCCGTTAAGCCCTGTCAGAAAGGCGAGTCTTTCCGGCCCTTGGATGGTAACCCAGGTCTGCTCCGGACCACTGCCACGGCTTAGGGTCTACTTAGTGGCTGAGTAGGTCACCTTTAACCTTTCGGGGCTCTTATAATCCTACTATCTAAACCCTAAACCCTAAACCCTAAACCCTAAACCCTAAACCCTAAACCTATCATTCAAAAGGTTAACCTTCTTTGGGCCAGGGTACTCAGCCCCTAAGTCTATAGGGGCCACCAACCATACTGAGAAACTTTTGCCCCACTGAACAGATTATTAAAAAGGAGGATCCCCGACATGACGAATCCCTCCGGGAGGGTTCATGAGTTTAGGGCGTTGTGGGTTTGGTGGATGAAGGGGTGTTTGGGTTTAGGGCTTTAGAGTTCTATGGGCTTGTGAGTTTTCGGAGGTCTGGGGAAACAGCATGATGTCATCTGATAGGCCCCGGCATAATCGTAGCAGGTCTCGATGGTAAACCTTTATCCAGGTGGACTTGATTGTGAACTCCCTCGCATTAGCCTTTGTGCTCGATGTGGATGAGATGGTCGGCGGCAAAGCGGGCAAACGGTCTCGTAAACCCTACACTCTAAACTAGTAAGTGGGACATGGGGTATGTTCACTCACTGTGCCTCAGAGGAGGTGATATCCGAATACGTTCCAGAGGGCTTCTTTCAAAAGGCGAGCCTAGTCTCCGGGTTCTGCAGATCCCATATTAAAGACACGATTCCGATACTGCTTGGACCATGGACATATTTTGTGCTGACACCATGACATCGCAACGAATCGCAGTGCCCATGCCGGGTCTCAATACCAAACGCCGCAGACACAGAGCGAGAGTTAGTGAGTGATGGCAGAGGCGAAAGAGGTACATAGAATGACAGAAAGAAGGCCGACGAACACTGATACGGACAGTCGCAAAACATTGCTGTATGTAAGCGCGTGTTTAAGCATGTACCCATGCATGCACATCTGTGTCCAAAAATTGCGAGGGAACACATGCTATCATGAACCAGCCCGATGTGAAAGATGGGTTGCGCATAGGTGGATGCATGGATGGAGGGCTGAACAGATACCCGGATTGATGGCTGCATGCAGGGATGCTTGGATGGGCGGATGGGTGCAGGGATATACATATGTGCACGTGCCTCTGCATGTGCATGTGGGTGTGTGTCCGCGTGCGTAGGCATCTCATAGATACACAGTGTTCAGTGTATGCATATACATAGATATCCATAGACACACTGTGTTTAGTACATGCGTGCCTGTGCAGAGAGAGATTGTCTCCTGTCCCGTAGAGGGCGGCAGCCAAGCGGTACTTGCTGTTCGCTCTAACTCCCAGCTGCATGTCATGCGCAGCGATGGCTGTTTAAAGCGCTACGAAGGGACATGCTCTGGTCAAAACACCGTGTTCTCTTCCAACTGTGTACATCGACCGAAACACACAGTTCAGTATTCTGCTCGGATGGCTTTAGTGGTGCAGGCAATCCTCACCAAGGGGATCACTTCATCCTATGACTTTACAAGTGTGGCTAATCCGATATTCAGAGGTCATGAATCAGGAGTCTACACTGCAGCTGCCACAGTTTTTTTTCCGATGAGTCGTGCCGTGCAGCATTGATCAGGTCTTTCATCGTTTTTCGTCGACCCTGACGAAGCACATCATTTCGAACATTGAGGAAAGCGCTGCCCATTCCGCATGCGGAGCTGTGAAGGGCGTCTCCCCCATGGAAAGCCCACTTCCTACCCTACACGTAATGTATTTTAGTCCAGGATGCTATATTATACTATAAATATATATATATATGTATACATATATATATATATATACATATACATATGTATACCGTAAAACTATAGTACAGTATTATATTTTAATGAGTATTATGTAACGCAACATAACATAGTATCCCCAAGGCTCGAAGAGGAATATCCCAAGCCGACGTCTCGAGCTCAAGCAGACCTGCAGCTCTCCTCCGCTCAGGGTCTTGGGATATGCAACGGGAATTGCAACGGTTTAGGGTTTTAGGGTTTTAGTGGTTTGGGGTTTGGGGTTTTATGTTTTGCAACGGTTTAGGAATTAGGGTTTTAGGGTTTTAGTGGTTTGGGGTTTAGGGTTATATGTTTCAGGGTTTTAGGGTTTGGGGTTTAGGTGTCCAGGGTTTAGGGGGGGGGGGGTTGGGATGGATGTTCAAGGGAATTGCGAAAGATTGCAAGCCTGAAGCCCTGAAGCCTAACCGACTTTTTGCTGAACCTCTGAATGCTGCTACACCTCGGAAAATGTCCTGCTTCGCAGCTACCAATAAAACTGAGAGACTTCACGGCCCACAGATACAGGTCTCTTGCCCCGAACTTCGGTGTCTTGATGTTTGGAAACTGCGCAGGAATGAAATTACCTAAAACTCTCCCCTAGATCCTGCAAAATGTGTGATGCTTCATTCGTTCCCTGAGGGTCCAACCACAAAAATATACTACAGCGGCGTAAATAACTACCATTACTAAAATGGGGGTTCCTACTTTTGTAGAATATGCCACTACTTCGGACCTTTGACCTTGAAGCGGCACCAGGACCTCCCGAACTTCGACACAGAGCCAACAGAGAAAGAGACCGATGCCCAGGTGCCGGAGCATCGGGTCTAGGGTCAAGGGCTTCGGGTTGAAGATTCAGGATAGTTTGGGTGTTGCATTTGGGACTTTAGGGCTCAGGGTCTATATGGTGCGGGACTTGAGGGCTTGAATGTTTTGCGCTTGCTGGCGCTTAGAGCGCAGTGCCGCGGCTATGGGGTCAAGGGCTTGTAGGGTGGCCGAACGCCTGCAATGCCCGTGACAACAATTCCCATCCATTGCTCAGGATGCGCATCAGGTAATGCGGGGTTTTGTCCATCACCACTAGCAGGACCGCGACATCTGCGGAGATGTGGCTGCTAAACCCTACACCCCAAACCCTAAACCCTACACCCTAAACCCTATACCCCAAACAAGCCCTGATACTTGGGTTTCGGGGGTTGCTCGGAGAACCTGTGCCCTTCTGCACCCATGAACAGTTCTCTGAAGACCGGGCTTGAATAACTCGAATAGGGTTCTGGCGTATACCATACTATGCTGTAGGGTTCTGGCGTATACCATACTATGCTGTAGGGTTCTGGCGTATACCATACTATGCTGTAGGGTTCTGGTGTATATTCATACTATGCTTGTAGGTTTCGGGAGTATATTCATACTATACTTATAAGGTTCTGGAGTATACTATACTATGCTTGTAGGGTTCTGCTGTATACTATACTATGCTTGTAGGGTTCTGGTGTATATTCATACTATACCTATAGGGTTCTGGTGTATAGGGTTCTGGTGTATATTCATACTATACTTATAGGGTTCTGGAGTATATTTATACTATACCTATAGGGTTCTGGTGTATACTATACTTACGGGGTTCTGGAGGATATTAATACTATACCTAGAATAACCCTAAACGGAAACCCCCAGGTAGTATTGGTAGTTGTGAGGCTCAGGAGGCTGAAACGATCCTCGGAACAGAAGCCTGCGATCTCACAGAAGGCCCAAAGTCAGATGGGTTTAGGGTTTATAGGGTTTAGGGGTTAGGGTTCTCCCGGCAAAGCCCGTCAGAAAACAAGCGATGATTTCGTGTAAGGTAGTGGCCGAAATAGGAACCAATATTTCTCCCTAGGGTTCCCTATTATAATTATACTCTGAAGGAGTCCAAAAACCTACTCTCGTTATCCAGGCTCCTACAAAGATGCCTAGGCAAGGGGCCCCTACTGAAAGAAGCGCCCACGTGGCATGCTTTGTCAGGCCCTGCAGCGCTACATCTCGCAGGAGCTCGGATGGAACCGTCCCTTACCTAATGACCTGATGCATCGCTCAGGATTCCTGTCGGGCATGGGACGATGTGGCAGAGATGTAATACAGTGGCCTAAGTAATTACCAATACTATTTTGTTTCTTCGTATGATTATAGTATAATGTGCCCCAAAACCCTATTCTAATTATTTAAGCCCTAAACCCTAAACCCTTATAGTAGCCCTTTTAGAACCAAATAAGGAACCCAAAACCCTATTCTAATTATTCAGGCACCTGCCTCGGACTTGGGTGCTTGGGCAATGGGCCCATGAAGCTCCGTGCAGGGGTTGTCAACTATGTTCCTGGGCGAATCCAAGAGACACCCAGCCAACAACGTCCCAAACCGGTCCAAGCAGCCGGCAAATCAACGAGCACACAAGTATATTGTCAGTGTATGATATATTATACATTACACCTTTTTTGTATTATACATTACATACTAACTAACAAAGTCGAAGCAGAAATTGATGAGCGCGGGCGATCTCGGCGAACGGGACGCTCAGAGGTTGCCACATGCAGGCCATGGCTAAGAGAACCGATCCTGATGTGGGTTTAGGGTTTTAGGGTTTGGGGTTTAGGGTTTCGGGGTTTAGGGTTTCGGGTCTGGCGTTTTAGGGTTTAGGGTTTAGGGTTTAGGGTAGGTCAATGATTGTGGGGTAGTGTCTTCGTGTCGGGCAGAGCACCTTCAAGGGGGTTTGCACTCGACCCACACCTCTACCCATAGGCCCCATAGTAGTTCCTTTTTGGGATTACCTTATAGGATTCTAGATATGAGCCCCAAAAAGGAACTAC